TCGGTGAACATGGCGAAGCATTGTTCAGTGCCGTGTTGTAGCAATCACGAACGAAGACCATTGCCAGAGATTAGCTTTCATCGACTGCAAAAGAACAAGATCCTGTGGAAAAAAGTGAATTGTTAAGATCAAACAAGATGAGGGGCCATTATTCAAGGTAGATATTGACTTTGAAATAGCTTCTTTGGGCACTTACAAAGATGTTCATATGAAAACTCCTAATCATTGGCCCAACACCGTACACGTTATTGCACTTTGGTGCAGTTTGATTGATCCAGTCTTTTCCTTCCTCCTTGATTGATCGTGCCCAGTATAATGAAATAACATCTGAAATTTTTGAATTAGAATCTACAGAATTCTGAACTTCAAAAGGAAATAACCCAGTTATTAAAGGCAACCTGCTGAATGACAAAAAGTCTTTAAACTGTTAGACTGTAGTGGCAACAAGCCATTTAAGCCTGACATAAATGGTGCATGCATGCAAGGTCAACAAAAAGTCCCAGATAAAATCCCGTTAATAAACTGCTTACCCTTCAGATTATGAATGCAGGCTTCTGAAAAACACTTGAAGCCTTTATCAAGCTGTTGCTCTCCACTGCCTTTGGAGCCCTTTTTGACATAATCCTCCACAAACTGGAAGGTTATCTCAGGAACCACGGAAAGATCCCTTCTGTTTACAGCCATTGTGACACACAAGTCCCCTACAGCCTCGTGGATCTTAACAGAACCGTAGCAGATGGCACAATCAGAAAAACAACTTCCCTCATGGAAGTGTACTTGCTCCTCTTCTTTTCAATGTGTACACTAATGACCAATGTATCCAAATATGAGGACCTTCCTACACGCAGATGACGTGTACATTACCTCCCAGAAGCAAATCTTTGAGGAGGTGCAAGTAGTACTCAGTGATACTCTTGCTGGTCTCATCCTGTACTACACAGTATTAACCACCTGTGAGCCAACCTACACAAGACCCAAGTAAGTGCCTTCCACCTCAAAAACAGGGACTCGCAACAACAACTCAGGGATAGGTTGATTGGGAAATTACTGCAATACACCCAGAACTGAGGACCTGAGGACCTGTACCTCCGGAGTGGTATCGCTCCCCCACACATCAGACTCAAGGAAAAACTCAAGCAGGAAATTGGCCCCCTCTATCCATTCTCCCAGAAAGAGCCTGCCAAGAAGAGAATGAAGTCCAGGCACTGCTTCCTTCTCTCAGTGAAGTCGCTGAATGAGAATGCCAGTAGAGAGGATTACTTGGCGGAATACCCACTTACAGTCAACGCCTCACAGGCTGTTACTTGCCCCAAAGAAATCCCTGCTACCAGGCTCCAAAGCATGGACTACCTGATCAACTAAGAACTGCCACAGACTGATGCAGGGCCCTTATGCAACAATGGGGTGAAACAAGAATGAGCAGATTGTGTGTGACTGAGGGGAGGAGCAAACTATGGAGCAACTCCTTCACTGCCCACAACTACCAGGTGTTTTGTATGTATTTCTATTTATATATTTCTATATGCACTGCATTTGGGTTGAATTAATGTGTAAATGGTAACCTTTGTATGTGTAGATGTGTTTTAATTTAGTGGTAATTTTTTGTCTTTAAGATTCATGTATTTTTAACTTCTACATCAGGAAGACAATATTCATGTACAGTGTATTACTTTTTGAATGTATTGACAAATAAGTAATCTTAACCCCTTGACGGTGGGAACTTTTTTTCTGAAGGCCGACTCCAAGAATTCCAGCCTT